ATCCATAGAGTAAGGGGATGTCACTCAAGCTTCTTGTCTTCGTAGACTTGCAGCTGGTTATGATAGTATCCCAGCCCTTCTCCCTAAGAAGTCCTGTGATGAATTTTTACATCTCACAGAAAACAGCTATTTTCAGAGAGGTGGTGAAGGAGATGAGTGAGAAATGGCTGATCCCTACATCATTCTTCACATGCTTTTTTACTCTTGTTGAGCACATGCTTAAGCTCAGAGTGCTCATTGTCCCTGGTGCATACCCGAAGCATCTTCCCGCTCCTGAACTGGAGCTCTGAAATGCTATCCATTTTCTTCTTACTGCCCGAAGTGGAAACTGTGAGCTGCACCTTGAAAAAGCTCTTCTTTGAGAAGATATTATATTATCAGTATAATAGGCTGTTAAAAATACAAAAATAGTGCACATATTTAAATTGGGCTTCTCCTTGTTAGAATTTCTACACATGGTTTTCAGATAGTCTTCAGCAAGTGTATTTGGCATCCTCCTTATTCTGGGTTCATCTATTTTATGTGCTATGTCTATAACCTCAGACACGTTCTTAAAAGAAAAGAGTTACTGCAAGTGACAAGCCTGTGTGTTCTGGGTGAATCTAGTACCCTAGTAAATGTACAATTTACAAATCCTTCTCCATGCATCTCTGAAATCTAAAGAAGCCAGCTGTTTTTTCTTTTTTGACTGGTTAGTAAAAGCATCAATTTCAAGTTACGCAAATTCTCTTGAAACAGCCTCCAGCTGTGCCCAGCAGTACTGGGTCCCAGCTACCCAAGTCCCAGCTCCCTTTAGCCCTTGGTCTCCATGCACAAGAACAGCCTTTACTAAAACAGGGCAATAGAACTGAATTCTTTCAGGAGAAAGTGTTCACTCCCAGGAGAGGGAGTTTCTCCAGTTAAATTAGCAGCAGGAAGGATATCCAGCTGATTTTCAGTCCCTTTGGAAGGATACTGCCTTATTTTATTATTGTATTAAAACCAGTGACTGCTCTAGTGCCAAAAGCTGGGTACCTTAGCCGTACTTACTGGTTGTTTCCCTTCTCTTTCCTCTGAAAGTGTGATAAGTTTTATTTTACCTTTTCTTTTCCCCTAGCTTTTGCATTTGAAGTTTGGAAACCTTTCCAGGAGGTGTGGGGCAGGGTTGGCAGAGCATGCTCTGTTTCTTCAACAGAGCCCTTCTTCCCATTTTTGAGTCTCAGAAAGGATCTAAAGATTAGGATAATACTGATTCAATTAGGATTTTTAAAGGAGACCACAAATTCTATTACCAGCATCATGAATCTTATATTGATAACTGTTCAGTATACATCCTAATTTTACCAGAAAGCTGGATCATTATCACTGAAGAAGATAAAAGTAATCTATCTGTTCTACTGGGAGTTCACCATACCTTTCAAAAGGAGGAATAACTGGAACTTGCCTGAGGAGAGGTGATCCAGGGCATGGATTCCTACAGCTTATTGTCATTAGTTAGTGAAGCACCTGTCCCATTTGTTCTCAAGTACTGCTGACTATGAAAACTTACCAGGATTTGCTAGAAAGCCTTTTGGATAAAAGTAGGTAAAATTTAGGGAATCTTCTTTTAAGTCAATGAGTACTTTGCACTTTGCTTTATCATTTTTATTGCTTTCAATGAAAGACATCTAAATCATCTTTCAAGATATCATAACAGACATATCTGTCTTAAAGGGGATGGAGCAAGAAAGCAACCACATAAATGCCCAGTCCACTAAATCCTGTTTTTGAGAGCTGAATGTACCTAGTCCTATCCAGTTTCGGTAGCTGCTGCTAATGATACAATGGAGCAGCAAAAGCAGCTCTCAAAAAAACCCCCCAACAATAACTTGTATGAATATGAAATTTATTAACAATGGGTGTACAATTAAGAATGCTAAAGTATTGTGGTGGTCAATTAAATAAGGGACATTATTGTCTTCTGAGAGAGTGCTTCAGAATAAAACAGGCTACACTTAGAGTAGTTTGTGAAGGACAGCTCAGTGGATGTAGCAGGCCCAGGATCCCACCAAATGTTCATTGTGGGATCCTGATGAAAGAACAACTTTTAACACCAAGATTCTGGTTTTCTTTGCAGAGTCCTGTTGACTCTTCAAGCAGGACAAATGGTTTAGTAGAAAGATGATTTTTTCATGATTAGAGATGATGGTTGCATTTTTTTAGTTCTTCTTAAACCTCATTTTTCGGAAAGGAAGAAGACAGCGTTGCCATTCTTGAAGAGAGTCCCAAAAGATATTTTTCAGCATAAGAACTTAGCATTGTGAATGAGTTTTCTTTTTCTGTCTGACTAGTGTGATAGGTGAATGCTTAGGAGTTGTCTAAGTATAAATAAAGTGCAGTAGTGTGTTCAGGACCCATTTTGATGTGCTGTGTCCCTATAAACAATTGCCCGGTATCACTGCACGTAGCCATATGGCTTTAGAAGAGACTGAACATAGTTCAGTCATTTTTCTAAGTGCTCAGGATCAGATGTGGAGATGGGTAATATATGAGAAAGTGTATTACTTAAAATTGTCCCAATATGGGAGACTATTTTCCAAGATACAAGAAAAAATGGAACAGATGGTTATTAATAATGGGAGGGTCGGCTCCTGGACGAAATATCTGGTGTTGTTAATTTAGTTAAATTTAGTAAACAAAAAGTGGTTTGATTAAGTAGGATTTCCATTTTCAAAATAAATTGAGAGCGCTAATTAGTGAAATCAACTGGACTGAGCGATTTTAGACTAAAATGCAGTAAAGGTTTGGGATTTATTTTAGACAAAGGTACAAAAGTTAATAAAAAAATGCATTCCAAATTAGATGAGAAAAAACACTTGGAAGGAAAGTTCTATGACAAAGTGGATGATTAAGTATTTTTTTAAGGAATGTCTGGAGTAAGCAAAGATCATGAAAGAAACAGAAAAACAGCTTGATCTGCAAAGAAGGCTACCTCCTGGATATCAGAAGGTGTGGGGTTATAGTGACAATTAGCAAAAGTTGTGCTGAATTAGATCGTAATAAGGGAATTTAAATTAACAAGAAAATATTACTTGACTATGTAAAGAAGCTTTCTGGGGAAGAAAGCTAGAACCATTGTGCAGTGCAAATGGACAAATGATACTAAATGTAATCCAGATATAGTCTCAACCAGAAAAGTTTTAATTTTCACTAAAAAAAATTTCAGGCAAAGGCCTGAAAATAAATAAATAAAATAAAAGGGAGCGTTGGGTAGATATTATAAATTAGCACATCTAATAAAGATTAAAGCATCTGACTTACAGGGTAAATGTCTTTCCAGAATACTGACAAATACTGCTGCATGGAACAATTTTTTTAGTCTTTTAGTTCATGGCTGACAGCATATATTTGAAGGAGGGGAAATGCAGTACCTGTACTTGGATTAAGAGGAAAAATGTGATAGCGAAGCAGCTATATAGGTTGACTATTATCTGTGCAGGGCTTTAGAAAAGTTTTTAAGGAAGAAGTAAGAGAGAAAAGAACAGTGAATGGCATAACTTTTAGTGCACATTTTTTGTTAAACAGGAGATTGTGCCCAGCTAACCTGCTAGCCTTTCAAAATATACATTAAGGAAATACGTTGTCTATCTGGACCTCAGTAAACCCCCTGATGTAGTGCTACAGGAGATGTTATGAAATAGAAAGGATGGGGATTAGTGAAGTATAGTAATTATGAGATGACTAGAGAAATGCGTATTTTAATGAAAGAATTATTTTTAATGCAGTTTGTGGTGGAACTGATCTTATCCAATATTTTCATTTGTTGTCTGGCCACAAAGTGAGAGAGACTGCATTGGTGGACTTTTATGAAGGAAAAATATTAGAAGGTAATATCCAGTGCAAACACAAATAGAGTACTCAGGTAGGACTGATCCTTTCTGAGGAAAAGAGGACTAGAAACAGCATGAAATAGTGTGAAATACAGTATTGTACTAGCAATAATTTGTACTGTAAACAGCAGACTTCTTTTTGTAAATAAAAATGGGAGAGTAAGCGTGTAGGAGGTGGTGCAAACTGCAAGGTGGTGTGTCGTGACTATAGACTGTATTGAGCAAGATTTTTTTGATAGAAAAGAAAACCACTGTCCAAAGAATCAACTGATTAAACTTTTAGTATGCTGTCTACAGCTCCTGTCCCTTCTTTTTCATTTGTAAGAAGGACTGATTTAAACAAAACAAGGAATACAGAGCCTCATTTAGGAAAAAGACTGAAAGAACTTGATTTCAGTAAGCAGAACAGAGGACACAAAGGTGCGCAATGCTATCTGTAAATGAATTAAGGAGAATACACAGGGACATAGAAGAATTATCAAGCTAAATGACAGGTTGCGTAAGAATAAATAGTATAAAACAGGACATGAATAAATTTGCTTTGAAAAATAGGTGATTCTTTCTGGCTTTTAACAGTCCTTCGATAAAAGTAGTTATTATAGAGAGGAAGGTTTCCTTGTAATCCTTGGTTTCTATAAACGTCACTGTTCTATGTATAAACAGCCCACAGGATGTAAAACAAGATGTTTTGCAGACATGTTACTTAGGTAGTTTCAGAGAAGCTTTGAACTTGTGTTATGACAAAAAATATCTGGTATACAATCAACTCAATTCTTCACAAAATAGATGAACTTTTACATTCTTTGACTTAATGTTAGTAAAATCAAACTCATCGATTTATATGGTATACCTCTGTAACCTTATACTAGTAAAATTGTGTTTAATAAGTTGAGAAGGGCCTTAATCAAAACTTTAAGTGAAATTAAAGCTCAGATTTTCAGAACATTCAGACTCCAAATTGAACATGGAGGCTAGTTGTCTCTCTTGCCAGCTGTAAGAATGTGAAGATATAAAGTTGAGACTTGTCTATGTAAGTTTTGTCCTAAACTAACCATATATGGTAAAATCAATTGCAATTCTCAATCGATATTGTGTTATTTATTATAAGGGTTTGTCTTATAACAAAGGAGTTTTCTTTTATTTTTGTGTTAGGAGGATCAAATGAAAATGGAAGCACACACCACACCTCAGATTCTGATGGAACATTTATTTCTTACAGGTTGGTAATTTTTTGTATTTATTTTCTAATTTTAAAAAGTTTGAATATAATAAACAGCATAATCTATTTAAAGCAAAAGAACAGGTCTGTATATTTTAAGAGTATTGTACAATCTAAATTGCGACACTCAGTAGACTAAAGGACATGAAGGGTTTAATTAAGGAATGATCTGAAAAGTTGTTTTCTGGATTATTATTTTTTTGAGAAAGCTTTTCAAAATGCTTAACTAATGAAAGTACAGGATGTTTGTAAGCCTAAATATTTTTAAGGTTGTTTTGTTGTTTTTTTTTTTCTCCAAAGTAAGCCATAAAGTTGAAATTCGCACCTAAACGCACTGCAGCTAACCTAAATGTTGTTGAAATATTTAACTCGCCAGGGATCACCTTTCTGATCTCCTCCAAAGTAACTGGATCTATGGACCACATGGAACTCTATTCGCTCATTATTTCAGGTCAAAAACCAAAGCCAGAATTTGTTAAATTTGAGGTTTTCTGGCAGGAAAATAATATTTCGATTCTGTTGGTAGTAAACACCAGTTAAAGAAAAATGATGCTGCGCTACTTCTTGCAGCACTGTCACTGAGCTGGAGTCTTGCTTGGGTACGTACCAGAGGGTGTCTTGTACTTGAAAGCACAGAAGGGTGATCAGCAGATGTGTAGTTTCATCTTTCAGCCAGCAAAATACTGCCTCTGCTACAAATGCTAAATCTTTGTCCTTGTGACTGGTAAATTAATAGTAAGATTTGTGCTCACCAGAATGACTGCATCTGATTTTGATGCTTAAGTATGGCAAAACAAAACAAGCTTACCACATGATTGTTTTGGATTCATTTAGTGAACTATGATGGATGGCATCTTTTTCATTTTTTATTCGTTGTCCACTGGAGTCTGTACTTCAAAGAGGTGTAGGCAGGCCGGCAGTAGAAACCTGCCTGTTTGCCCTGTCCTGGTTGCAGCCGGCTGGGTGGGGAACATTCCACCGTCTTGCAGGCAGTGAGCTGTGCTGGGCATGAGGAGCCTTCAGGTGCGGGGTGGCAGGGAGGGACACAACGCCTGGAGAACCTGTTGCAGGCTGGAGACTGAGAGATTGCTGAGAAGAGCAGGGAGCAAACAGCCTGGTCCTGAGGACATTGAAAAGAAAGACTTTTCATAAGGACCTAGAGAGAACAGCGAAGAGCTTGTTGCGATTAAAACACCCAGAGGAAGCTTCTGGACTGAGAGCAAGGCTGGGAAGAAAAGGTGTGCCTGCAGGGACACAGTGGGACAGGGGAGGATTGATTTACAAATCCTTCCAATTTTCTGTATTCTAGTAAGTCTGCTCTAATGAAACCTACTTTGTGATGACATAAAACCCTTCGAGGGTGGTTAGCGTGTTCACTTTGAGAAAAATACGTTAGCAGATCCATTTCAGGGTTCTGCCTGACTCGATTTCTTGTCATATTTGTGTTCTTTAATGTATGCAACATACCATCTAAGTTAAAAGAAGGGCTCAAAAATACCACCCAGAATAATCTTCATGTTTTTTAGGCGAGGAGCATATGGAGATACAGAGACCATGAAGCAGTCTCTGAAAAATAGGCAAGATAGAATTTAGCCAGATCAGCAAAACGAAGGAGTTGAGAGCTCACTCTGCCATTAATTCCAGGACACTTATACCTGAAAGTCATTAACTCAAGAGCCCCACCTGTTGTATCTGCCAAGGTAAAACTTGAAGAAGAAGCCAGCTTCAGCTGGGCTCTAATTCCACAAGAGTGTAAGCTGGGGTCTGACCCTTTCTTCCTACCCCTTCTCCACTCATCCAGTGGCACTCATCTCTCAATGAGCCAATCCAGGGTGCTAAACTAGCCCAGCCTGAACTGTAGGAAATCCTCAGCCATCTTTAATGTTCCACAAATAAGAGGAGGTTAAAGCTGGCCTTTGTATCCCCATATTCCTTAGTCCAAAGTGCATATAATAAATACGACGTTGGCTACGACTTCCACTGAATAATAATCGTATCCTGTCAAAGAGGATTACAGCCCAACTTACAAAACTGAAGTTAATTAATATTTTAAAAGCAGTCCCATATACCACTGCCAGAGTATTATTGTTATAATTAGAGGCAAGATGATGAAGCAAGATAGTGCCGTGTATATATGTCTCTGTGTATATACACATACGTATATAAAAGAAACCTCTGACTTTTAATGGTTGGCAAGCTAGCACTGTTATTAAGTAGTATTACAATGTTTAAGGTATGAAATGAATATTTTCTGCTCAGTGGCAAGTAAGTCCCATCATACAATGAGACTGACTGTAAATTTGCTAGTTGGGTTGAATATTGTGTTGATAGTTACAGTTCTGTGCTGCATGTTAAATAAAAATGAGCAGCTAATACCTTATGAAAGATGAAAAGTGAATCTTAAACTACCTTGAAAGGTAACGATGGTAAATGGTTGTTATTTCTTTAAGGACTCATTAGAGATTTGGACTTATTTTAGGATACTGTCAATGAATATTGTTTCAGTAAGTTAGTAACTTGATAAAACTGATGATAGTCTTTTTTACCCGATGTGTTTCAGTCTATTGTATTTAAAACAGACTGGCTAGTGAATTTTAGCCCTAAAAGAGGCAAATGCATCTTTGGATCATGGTAGATGCCATGCTTGCAGAAGGCTAATACATGCAAAATTCTACTGGAAATTTTTACTGAAACAAAAGCTGCTTAATGTTTTATCAGTGGCAGTCTCTTTACAATCTATTTAGGAGAAGAGGCAACTCCAAATGTTTAAAAATATTTGAATGTGAATGTGTTTTGCTATTGAAGTGCTCTTAAGAGTATATTGTTTTTACCACAATAAAATCAACGGGGGGCGGGGGGGTGGTGTGTTACTCGATTCCAACACTTTTTATTTTAAAGGACAATTTTACACTATCCAGTACAAGACTCCAAGTGTGTGTGTATGTAATAATAAAGGATGTCAGATCATTATCCTTTGATATATTTATAATGCTCCAGAACTATTTGTGTGGGTTTATTTTTAATATGATGGTGTCACCTTAGAGTTTGTGGCTCTTGCTTGTGTTGATCACAGCACAAATTTAATGCTGCTTATGTTCACATAGTGAGCATTTCCCTTTAGGTCATAAAGTTTGTAAGTAATGTGAGTGAAAAGCACATGTGACTGGCGCATATTTCTAAATATTCTGTGAGCTTGTGAATGCGTCCTGTCAGGTCACAGAGAATTTTCTAGTTGGTCTTCAGGCTATGATGGAAGTATTCTTTGTGTACTTGAGAAGAAGCTTTACTAACAAGAAACTATGAAAATTATTTCCTAGAACTATGTCACCAAAATTTGAAGTTCACTATTAGAAAAATTTGAACAAGGATTTAGACATATAGTAACTGTCATCTTTAAAACATAAGAAACTTGAGGAAAATATTTGAGCTCTGCTCTACTTTATAATTTTCTTGCTGTGGTTAAAGCCTTTTCTGGATGTGCAAATTGGCCGGACTTCACTAAAAAGAAAAGAAAAGTAGGTGTGGGTCTCTAGCTTCAGTATCTGCAATGCAGTGCCACTGGAAAGTAGAAATACTGTCTTTCTCCTGCCTTCCCAAGGGCAGCTGACCTTCTCCTCGCCAAAGAGGTGAACCCCTTGCCAGCACATATGACTACAGACTATTACATTAATCTGTTTAGCCTCAGTACCAGCTGCTTGCATGTTTTTAATTATCTTATTAGATGGTATAACAGTGACCTATGAAATAAAATGAAGGTGAGTATTTTTTAACTTTATTTTACAGGCTATTTTTCTAAATATACTTTAATGACCTAATTATGACTTTTAGGGAGAGCCATTGATGCAGACATTCAATTTGGCTGATAGAATCTAACATCTCAAGGACACTTATTTTCTTCCAAGGTGGATTCATACATTAATACTGCGTCTAATAAAAATATAGCCTAAAAAAAGCTCACTTTTCATACTTGTGTTGTTAACTTACTTTATGATTCAGAGACCCATGACTACTATGCTGGATAATTTCTTAATACATCTCTGCACTTGTATATAAGTTTAATTTCTACCCCATGTATCAAGATAAAGTTCTTTCCTGTGTGGCTTAAACTCCATGACAAGTGATGATTGCTCAAAGTTGTGGGTTGTGTAGACAATGTATATTCTTCTTTCTGCTGATATTTCAAATAGGCAGAAAATCTAGTGTAAGAAAGATTTTCTTATTCCATTTTCTTCCCCTGACTTCTCACAGATTCTGCTTACCAGATGTTTTCTTTCTTACTGCAAAAAGGCAATGTGGTCCTGCTGGCTGAGGCATGTTTCTTGTGTGCCAGCCAACAACCACAGGACTGATACTGAGCATACAGAAGAAGGACGGCAAGGGGTGCAAGCTGTTCCTCCCTGTTTCTACCCCCTCCCAAAAGTGGATAGTGAAACTAGTTTAATTCCTGTTTGACCTATGGCTTTTCTTGGCAGCTGAGCCAGAAATGGCTACATAGCCTCTGTCCTTACATGTTAAATGTAGTGTGAAAATGTAGGCAACTTGTATACCTCCACCTTGTGGAAAACTCTTGTTTTAATCCATTAGGAAACAGCCCATTCCCATCTACACAAGTCTATTTAGTGTTGTTCATACACAGGTGGTGTTTCTTTATTGTTTTACTTTTAAGCCACCCCTGTGCAATTATAACCTATTTTTCCTAACTTTGTCCACTATGTGTACACACATAATCAAGAGCTGTAAAGAACAAGCTTGTTTCTATTGGGGTTTTCAAATATTTCGAGATATAAAAATTTGGGAGTAGAAGATGAAGCAGTGAAGTGGCACTGCGCCTCTGCTCTGCAAGGAGAATTCTCAGCGCTGGCATCCCTCCTTTTTTTCCACAAGGAAGCAGTAAAGCTGGCATCCATGTTTGTTTTGTCTTACCTAGAACCATTTGCTAGACACCAGCTTGGTTGATGCCATTTATGTGCAGAGAGGCCTTTTCACTACAAGTTAATTTT